TCTTGTAAAAATTTTAAGCTTTGATTTGCTTGAAAGGATCATACATTTTTATCATCTCTGAAAAAACATTCTGTAAAATAGTAATATTTGAGTAAAAACTGAAAATATGAAAAATTTCTTCAGTTTACAACAGCATTTTGAGTTTACTTCAGTTTTGTGGAGTCCACTTTGATTTTGAGCCCCTGTGACAGAGCTAGGAAAGCATTTTTTTTATAAAGAAGATATCTCAGAGCTCATTGTGTCTCCAATTTTAAGTAGTTAATAACTAGAAGAGCTAAAGGAGTTAAACTCAGACCACATTTCATAAAGCAGAAAGAGAAATGTGGCTACTGCTTATTAATCATATTAAACATAGTTATATTCATTAATTTGTTGGAATAATCACCATTGTGGAATTTTTGAAAAATCTGGCTTTTTTAGCTCAGCATAATGTATGTTAGATTCATCTACATTTATTACTCTGATTCTGAATTCTTTTGAATGTAATTTTTTAGAATGGAATTTCTAATTTCTTAAGCCAGCTAGGAAATACTATTGTAGTTTGTTGGGAGTACTCCAAAAGGGGTGAAATTCAGTTCCAATTTTTAACTGGTAATGAAAATTTTATGATAAAAGAATGAATGGGCTACAGAAGTATTTTACCTTTTGGAATTTATTTAGAGGAATTCTGATGTAAATTGATCCCTTTGTATTTTTCATAGTAATTCACGTATTAAATATTTTTTATTGTTGTCTGGTAAACATGCAAAGAAAAAAAATTATCAATTTTTGTAGTATCTCATTAGGTTAGGTATTTCTATAAATAGATTAATATCAATAGATGCTGGATTTACTAACTATAATGATCTATTTTCTAAATTTGTTTTATGTAACAACTCTAAATTAGGCCATGTTTCTCATAAAATAAACGATTAATTTCCTTAAAAGTTGAGTGGCTTCTTTATTGGAACAAAATGCTAGAAAATACTGACCAGAAATACTAGTTTATAGAGTGCATATTGCAAAATTTTTGTTTCTCAATTATATTTGGAACCAGAAATAACCATGCTTAGTATGGCAGAGTAAGTTTTCAGATTTCTGGACATCTATAAATTTAGTGTGAGTTAACAGTATGGAAGTTTCCCAAAAAGCAGGGCCTTTCTCTTCTATATGTTTGGTATGATGTAGTATAAACCCACTCCATCTTTATATCGCATCTTCTTTATTCATTTACCTATCAGTGTACAGCTAGGTTGCTTCCATATTTTGGTTATAGAAAATAATGTTGCAATGAACATAGGTATGCACATATCTTTTCAATGGCTGCATCAGCTGTTAATCTCACCAGCAGGACACAAGGGTTCCCTTTTCCCCACATCCTCACCAACACTTGTTGGTTGAATTTATTGATGTTGGCCATTCTGATCAGTGTGGCTATTCCCCTTTGTGGTTTTAATTTGCATTTCCTTGATGACTAGTGATGTTGAGCAGCTCCTCATATGTCTGTTGACTATCGCTCTGTGCTCTGTAACAGCCTGATGAGAGCCTGAGGCTCGGTCCTCTTCATTGTGGCTTTGCCATTAGAGTCATTTGCCTTCATTTCATGTTTCTTCTGCCCCTTTGAGTCCAGGCTGGAAGCATTTCTTAAAAATTTTTAAAAACTGTTTTGATCTTCTGTGTAACTCATGGATGCACAAGCCATCAGATAAGAGGGTCCTCCACACATCTTTCCTGGGTAACTGCATCTTCATACACCAATATGACCATAATAATTACTTCTGTCATACCCTATTTCCAAATAAGGTCACATTCTGATAGACTGGAGGGTTTGCATTTTAACATAACCTTTGCAGGGGAACACAATTCAACTCATAATACCCATTTAACAACCATATAACGACCTTCACAGGTACATCAAGAGGCTTATTTTGTTGTATTTTAAGGCACTTTTTTCTTTGTTTTTTCCTAATCATCATTTTAATTGTTGTAAATATACTGAAAAGCAGAGTAATTTCACATATTTTTGCATACCTTCAAAGCCTTCCTTACCAGAAATTTGCACATAAATGCAATTAAAAAATTAGTCATGCTGTGTGTCACAAAAACATATAGTAAAGTAACACTTTAGTTTAGGTGTTAGTTAAGTATTACCTTCTTATTTTTTAATCTTATATTTTGGTTATATGAACTTTCTAATTCTATAATTCAAATTCTGACTTACTATTTTCTGTCTTAGAAAGTTGCTTATTTTTAAAAATATTTTTATATTGAAATTATCAATAGATGATTGGTTTTCAGTATAAGTAATGGAGAGCATATATTTGACTTACTAGAGATGGGAGCAACATAATCATGATTCTGTGTAATAAATCTTAGGGTAGTGAACATAGAAGAATGTACACAGACTCCTGATAATTCTCTTTAAGTTTTAACTTAACACTTAAAATTAATATATATGTTCTTAAAAGGATAAGCAACAAAAGCCATTAATATTGGTATTTTGACTTCATTTAAAAAATAGTTTGCTTGAAAAGTTTTACCTGGTTATTGCTCTTTGTATCATTATGTAGTCACTAAGTTTCTTTATTTTTAAATGAGACTGTTAATATCTTCATTTCCTACTATGCATTCTCTTAAATAATCTCATTTAATCTTCACATGGGTTTAGATGAATGTTATTATTTTCCAGTATTAACAAGAGTAGACTTTCACTGTGCTGCTGAAACTTATTGTTTTTGACTCTGACATTGTTTCTTTCATTATTTTGAGTATTTTTTACTTCATTTCTGAATGTTTAAAATTAAAGATAATATTTATCTATTGTAATTACAGTGAGTCAAGCAGTCAGTGGAATGGTAGATCTTTTGCATATTTATAAAATTCAAGACTTCTGGGAGTGGGTCATAGGAAATTGAAATGTGTGAGACAGAATTCTCCCTGACAAAGAAACTTACAGTACTGTACCTATATTGTCCACTCAATTTTATTTTTTATGAAGCTAATATTAGTAACACTATAAGAATATAAGAAAGTTTCTGCTGATGAGTGTTAGCTTCTATTTTTTCATTTAGTGGAAATATTACATCTTAAACCAAATATATCAAAATTTCTCAGGATTCTCATTTTCCATATTTCTAAGCCAAGATGAGTTCAAGAACTATCTCTGTACATAACAATAGAAAGCAGTGATGTAGATTCATACCACCACATGCAGACATTCGGTACAATTTGCTTCCAGTGTTTATTAGGGATTTTCTTTGGATAGCAGAACAGTGAACAGAAGGGCTGTGTGGTAGAAGCAGTAGTGTTGAGGTGAGGAAGCATATGGGGGCACTTGGGCCCCCGTGACTATACTTCTTGGGTTGAAGAGGAATATTCATGTTTTCTGGCAATGGGAGAGAAACCTGGAAATTTTACTGGTGGTGTTAAATCTTGGAGCCCTTGAATGCCCAGCTCAGGAATTGAGACTGAATTCTAAAGGGTGATTGCACTCTATTGAACTTAGATACAAAAGATTACAAGACATTTGGGGGAGATTAAAGTGACAGCTGTAAAGATGAATTGGTGCTAGGAGAGACCGGTGTAAGAAATTTGTAAAGGACACATTTCAGAAAAAGAATTAATGATAGTTGATGACAGACTGGATTTCTAAGGGAAGAAGGGAAAGATGGATTAGGAAATGTTGAGTATGTATGTAGGAGATTTGAAGAATTGTCATATCATTGATAACAGCATATTTGTTTGCAGTAGAAGTTGGTTTAAGGCATGTAAGTTGTTCTCTGAACTTTTAAATCATAATGCCTGTCAACATTTGAATTCTAAGGAGGGAAGTTTTGGACAGGACAGTATTAAAACAGTAATTAATTTGCATGGAGATGATAATTGTACCAACAAAATATTGAGAGACTTATAGTTTCAAAGCTGTTGTTGAGTCAGCCAATCTGTTGCCCGGTGTGTTAGGGCTTGCCAAGGTATATTAGTTCCACCTTTTAAAAATATATATTTTATTGATTTTTTACAGAGAGGAAGGGAGAAAGAGAGAGAGTTAGAAACATTGATGTGAAAGAAACATCAGTCAGCTGCCTCCTGCACACCCCTCACTGAGGATGTGCCCACAACCAAGGTACATGCCCTTGAGAAGAACCGAACCCGGGACCCTGAGTCCTCTATCCACTGTTAGGGCTATTAGTTACACCATTGAGACAATTCTGTACCACCATTTGATTAATGTCTGTCCTGTTGGATGAAGTTTGGTCTGGATGCAATTTATCCTGTGTTAAGTCTTTATAGGAAACTTGCTTTATAAGATATGTCTCCTAGGTGCTAGGTTAAGTATATAATATATTCACGAAAATCAAAGTCTTAGTGGATTCAAATAATCTTTTCTTTGAACTCACTTTAATACTATTCCTTTTTCCTAGTGGATATGTTTGTAGTAGTGTTTTGTAGTGGGTGTGTTTTATGAGATATGATGTAGAAGAGACTCTTGTTTTGCTCCTAATTGTTGGCCACTTTTTGAGAGTGTGTTTGTTAATAAACATAATGTGATTAAAATTTATCTTGAAGAAAATCTGTCTCTTCCCATTGGTTTAATTATTCTAATTACATTCATTGGCTACTTTTGTTTGTGAACCCAGGTTTTTAGCTCCATAGACCTTTCAGCATTCAGCTCACCTAGACGGCCATTTGATGGGAGAGAGGTTAATCCTTCTGTTGCTGCAGGCATGCTTTTGAATGAGTGTATTTCCCTTTTAGTTGTTCCTGGTACACAGTTCCCTATCAACTCTACCATGCCTTTGAGCATATTACAATATATTACCATTTATAAGTGTGAATATGCAGGTTCTTGCCTCTCTTTAGAAGAAATTGAATTTACCCCTCACTGAACGTTTTGAAAGTGTAAAACATCCCCATATATGTGGTGACTCAATATTCTTGTGAGTCACATTTGAAGTAGGACTCAGTGTGACTTCATGTAGCTAGTGAAATGTGTAAAGCACAACATCCCCTTTGTGTTTCAGTGCACCTGCAGGAATGACATGGTGAAAATTTCAATGGATATTTTTGTGAAGAAATTTCAGCCAGACAGATACCAGCTTTGGAAACAAGGAAAGGATATATACACCATCGATCACACAAAGCCTACTCCGGAAACTACCCCTGAAGTCAAAGCATGGCTACAAAGGAGGAGGAAAATGAGAGCATCCAGGAGGTAACGGTCCCACCATCCCCATCCCACGTGTACTTATGCAATTAAAATGGGTTATGATGTGATATTCTTAAAGACTTTTTGCCTTGCTGAAAATTTATTCCTCATAAGTTTACATCATATCTTATTGAAAATTTGAGGCAAAATATTTTAATTCTTGAGAAATGTAATAAATAAATAGAAGTAGAAAGAGTTGTATTTTGTGTTTGAGAATATTCCTGAAGTTGTTACACATGGCAAGTAAAACAATACTAGAACCTCTTGGATCTCTTACACTAATGATTTTTAAAGTTGTATTGGTGGTGCTCCTTATTCATCTCCATACTTTTATTAACTTCAGTAACTTGATTTCCAACTTTTTCATTTTGCAATTGATTTTCTTTCTGCCTTCAGTAGTTTTCTTCATTTGATATTAATTTTCTCATTGGGATGCCTATTTTTTGCCCCATTTTATACACTTGGTTTTGTTCTTTTATGAGATAGAAAGCCAAGCATGTGGTGTTTCTGTAACATGGCTGTCTCCGTGAACTTTATTCTACATTCTATTTTCGTGGCCAGGGCCATTTCAGAAGCTTTTCCACCTGTCACCGGCATCTAGCTAGTTTAAAATCCATTGAATAGGGTATGTGTTATGTTGCTCAGGTCCTCAGGCAATATTTTTAGGCTCTTGATGTTTTCCAGGGTTATATTACATTTTTACTCTCCAATATTACTCATTGTTTTTCTTTCAGATTGTAAAGGTAATATTTGTGCATTGGAGAAAATTTGTAAAATAAGGAAAAGAATAATGAAGGAATCCCAAATCACTCTTAACCTCACAACCCAGAGATAACCAGTGTTAACATTTTGTATATATCCTTTACATATATATTGATTCTATATCATATTATATGCCTTTCTAAAATTGGGCGAAGCTCTATTAGCAATTTGATGACCAGTTTTGTGAGTGTTTTAATGTATTCAAATGATTGCTACAACATGATTTTTAATGACTGCATGTATTTAATCCCCTGTGTTTGGACCTGTAGCTTGTTTCCAGTTTTTTTGCTATTAACTAAAATAACACTGTAACTTTAAATCTTTGCCCACACTTTTGATGCTTACTTTCTGATTCTCTTTTATTTTTCCTGACATTTATTTTCTGCTATTTTAGAATGATAGTGAGCGGAGGAACCTTAAGAACATGGAGTCAAACTTCCGCATTTTATGAGAGAAATCACTGAGGCACAGATTTAGTGGCAGGACTCAAACTGAGGTGTTCTATTTCACCTTGTAGTTTATAGCAGTGATTTTTAAACTGTTAGTTTTCAGAGCAATTTAGTAGGTTAGGAACAACACTTTTAAATTAGGAAGTAAAATAGAATAAAAAGTATCATAGTCCTTCCTGTGTGGGAAGGGTAAGTATTAACTCATGACATGTATGAGTATGTGTGCATGTGTGTGTTGTGTCACCATCTAGAATATATAACTTTATATGGGTTGCATTAAAAACAATTTGGGAGACAGATTGAGAGAGTCAGTGCCTTTGATAAACATGTTAATTCACATCACGAAAGAAACTAGCTGTGAAAGGGTGCAGTAGTTAATCTTGAGTTCAGAAGAAACACCAGTAGATCTTGCTGAGAATTGCTCTTTAACTGTCAGTAAAATACAATATTTTAGTTAGATGTATGATCTGGTCTCCTAGTTACTAACCACAGTGGCCCTTTTGGGTTGACATAGATCCATAACATGGAACAGATTTGAAATGCCTTCAGCAGGTTAAAATAATCAGTGGACTTTGCTCATGCTCACTTAGTTCGAAAAGCTAATGCTAAGGGGCTTGTTGATTATGCTCAGCTTTGTGGCTTGATCATAGTTCTCTGACTCCCTTAAGCAAAGCCCTATCTAGGGAAATCTGATGTAGGGAATGATTCATTGAACTCTCAAAGAGATGTCAGTCATCTAACTTTACGTGTACTATGCTATTAGCAATGTGAAGATTTTCTACATAGACCCGTGCATGGGTTCTCAGTACACGTGATAATGGTAATGTGGTACTAGTACTGCCACTACCAACAACAGCCAGAGCCAATTTACATAGGTTACCCAAAGCTCCCCCTTTATCTCAGATCTGCCCTTCCTGTCTTCCTTTGTGCTGTTTGTGTGTCTATGTGGATATATTTGGGGGCACTGAAATACATATTGCTTTGACTTGAATTGCACTTTTTCTTAAATGAGTGTTAGAAATGTTGTGTCATATACAAAAGGCATCTATGACAAAGCTATCAAGTGACTTGCTGGAAAATACTGAAAGAGGAAAAAATTAAAAATGGTGTCCATTATGAAAATAATAAGTTATATAAATATCAAATACATACAGTTGACAGTCCTTTTTGTTTCCTTTAGCTTATGATGATTTGGCATTTATTTTTAATGATTTTAATGAAAACTTAAGACTTACACAAAAATCAGGGAAATGTGGTCACCTGCTCACATTGGGATGCAAAACTATAATATATAGATTCTAACAATGGCTTTATGGGCTCTCCTCATTTTCATCTTTATTTCTCATTACCTAAATAATACTTGATTCATTGATTAGATCTTCCTCACATCATCATTTTTCGCTTTTCTAAATTTTATTTTTAGGTTTCTTTTAATACTGTTATAAACTTGCAGCAAAGGCTTCCCCCCAACAGTATATAATAATCAATTATTTACAATTGTTTTAATTTTAAATTTAAAAATATTTTTATTGATTTCAGAGAGGAAGAGAGAGGGAAAGAGATATAGAAACTTCCATGATGAGAGAGAATTGGCTGCCTTCTGCATGCCCTCTACTGGGGATCGAGCCCACAACCCAGGCATGTGCTGTTGACTGGAATGGAGCTCAGGATCCTTCAGTCTGTAGGCTGATGCTCTAGCCACTGAGAAAATTGGCTAGGGCTTAATTTTAATTTTTAGTGAATTGTTAAAACTTAAAGATTTCAACGTTAAAATTAATCTTTTAATTGTGAAGATAATCTCTGCACAATAATTTTAAAAAAACTATCAATTTTTTTCTTCTTTCAGTAAGTGAAAATTACATTTGCATTGGTATGTTTTATCCTCTTCTTTGCAAATGTTGCTCTGACCACGGCTTCTCTTGTTAATAGCTTCCAGTGCACTAGTTCTCACTCTAAGCGGCCTAAGAATGAGGAGGATGAGGAAGTGTCAGCGGCAGTTGATGGGGCACAGGGCCCTACCCCTGACCCAGACCCAGACAACCTCTGTGAACAGCCAGAAGCAGCAGTGAAGCTGGAGAACATGGAAGCACCTTCAGAGGGAGTAGCCTCTGCTAGCAGGATGCAGCTGGACCAGAATCTATCAGATAATATCATGCTCTCAGGTAAGAAGCTGGCTGATTGTTTCACATATAACTTATAGGTGGTTGATGATCTCATGCCTTTGATCTATGTTCACTGGGTCAGATATCTCACTTTTCCACATAGCTTAACCAAGAAGCCTTCTAGAGTTATGGGGTAATTCAGTCAGGAAGCCAAGGAATTGCAGTAAAGGTCAGGAGCACCCCTGGTACATGGAGTGAAACTGTAAGACATACAGCCTGCAGGTCCTGTGTGGTTAAATAAAAAAAGATTCTAAAATGCCCTAGCTAGTTTGGCTCAGTGGATAGAGACTTGACCTTGTCTTGTGAAGCTTAGGTCTTATCTCCACTTCTTTCTTTTTTATTCATATTCCACTTCTAGTATAAAAAATGTCCTTATCATAATCTTGATTCATCTGACCTTCAGCTGCTTCTCCATGCTCATTACCTTTTGCTCTTGAAATATCTTTATTAATAGAGTTTAAGTCATAGACTTTTCTTCAGTGAGTTTATACTTTAGTGGAGAGCCAGTGCGGTAAGTGCTATGTTAGAGATTGCATAGAATGTTGCTGGTGTACCAGAGAAAGACGCTAAAGGAACAGGAGGCTGGACTGGCACTGTTTCTTGGAGCAGGTGGTATTGAATTGAATTGAGATAAATGGATAGGAGGTAAGAAGGTGGAGAAGGCAGAGAAGGGAACAGCAGCAGACAGTGCCAAGAAGATGGTTATGCAATACATATGGCTATTTCTTTAGAGTCTGTTATCATAGTTTAATTACTGGGTTTAGGCCAAGGGCATACATTTATTGCACATTTTAACCTCCAGGTTTAGGGACCTGGCAGAACAGTAGAAAATGTGGCTAGGTTCAGCACCACAGCTAGCATGTGACAGGTGAAATAATGCCTGAGTGTGTGTAAGGGAGGGAGAAGGGTGAATAGAGAAGGCAGTGGAGAAGTGCTTATGATCATTGTATGATACAGCATTAGTGTAGGAAATAACTTTTACTGTATCTTCTCAGCCTTACATGTGCTCTTTACATACATCCTCTAACTGGAATGTTTCCTCAATAGCATCTCTTAGCATCATATCTTAGAACTAGAGGCCTGGTGCATGAAATTTGTGCATGGGGGCATGGGTGGGGGTTGCCTCTCTGCCCAGCCTGCACCCTCTCCAATCTGGGACCCCTCGAGGGATGTCTGACTGCTGGGATCGGGCCTAAACAGGCAGTTGGACATCCCTCTCACAATCCAGGACTGCTGGCTCCCAACTGCTCGCCTGCCTGCATTCCTGATTGCCCCTAACCGCTTCTGCCTGCCAGCCTGATCACCCCCTAACCACTCCCATGACAGCCTGATTGATGTCTAACTGCTCCCCTGCCAGCCTGTTTGCCCCCAATTTCCCTCTTCTGCCGGCCTGGTCACCCTAACTGCCCTTCCCTGCAGGGTTGATCGCCTTCAACTGTCCTCCCTTGCAGGCCTGGTCCCTCCCAACTGCCCACCCCTGCTGGCCATCTTGTGTCCACATAGGGGCAGGATTTTTGATCACATGGGGGCAGCCATATTGTGTGTTGGAGTGATGGTCAATCTGCACATTACTCTTTCATTAGATAGGATAGAGGCCTGGTGCACAGGTGGGGCCAGCTGGTTTGCTCTTAAGGATGTCCCAGATCAGGGTGTGGGTTCCTTTGGGGCATGGGGCAGCCTGAAACAGGGTCCTTTGATAGTTTGCAGGCTGCCCACGCCTGGCCACATACCCAAGCAGAGGCCCTGGTATCTGGAATATATTTATTTTCTACAATTGAAACTTTGTAGCCTGGAGCGGAGCCAGGCCTCCTGCTCACTCAGTGGTGGCAGCTGTTTCTGTTTGGATTTATTCACCTTCTATAATTGAAACTTTGTAGCCTTGAGTGGAGACTTAGGCCTGCAAGGGCAAGCAGAAAGCTTGGCTTCCTCAGTTGCCGGGAAACACCTCCCTCCTGCTCTTTGTGGCTGTAGCCATCTTGGTTGGGTTTATTTGCATACTTGCTCTGATTGGCTGGTGGGCGTGGCTTGTGGGGGCGGAGTGATGGTTAATTTGAATACTATTTTATTAGGTAGGATATAATTCTTATTTTTAGAAATATTTCAAATTGCTTTAGATAATTATTGTTGTTGTCCTGGCTTTTGTCTGTAGTAAAACCTCTTTTTTTTTTAAAAAAAAATGTTTTTAAAAAAAATATATTTTTATTGATTTTTTACAGAGAGGAGGAGAGAGGGATAGAGAGCTAGAAACATCGCTGAGAGAGAAACATCGACCAGCTGCCTCTTGCACACCCCCTACCAGGGATGTGCCCACAACCAATGTACATGCCCTTGACTGGAATCAAACCTGGGACCTTTCAGTCCGCAGACTGACGCTCTACCACTGAGCCAAACCGGTTTCGGCTAAATATGTTTTTATTGATTATTTACAGAGAAGAAAGGAAAGGGATAGAGAATTAGAAACACTGATGAGAGAGAATCATCGATCAGCTGCCTCCTGCACACCCCCCACTGGGGATGTGCCCACAACCGAGGTACATGCCCTTAACTGGAATCGAACCCTGGGCCTTTCAGTCTGCAGGCCAACGCTCTCTCCACTGAGCTAAACTGGTTTCGGCAAAACCTCTTTTTAATTCCTTATTTTGTCATTAAGTATATTCTTTTGCCAAATTCCAAGGTCTCACCTTAAGAACTATGAAGGCTGTGACCTTTTCTACCCTTGTCTGTGGAAGTTTACTAGTACAGGGAAAGTTGGAAGATAGAAAGTTAGTTGAGAATAGTTTAACAGTTGTACTCACTATTAATCCAATGCAAGATTTATTAAGTCTTTTATTTTATTCCTCAGGAAACAGCTGCTTAAGTACATCAGTGAAGGAGGAAATAAAAACTAAGGATGACCAAACATATGCCATAATTCCATCTTCAAACACCAGAGAAACTGCTGATTCTATATCTATTGGCCATTTGACCCCCGAGGAATCAGACCCACTCAAGCATCCATGGCCAAAGTTACCAGAGACGTGCTCCTCAGTGCCTGCAAGTGACAGATTGTTGATAGAAGAAGAGGGCAGCAATGTGGAAAGCCCTGTGAGTGGCCTTGAACCTGGGGAAGTCTCACCGGTCCCCAGTGGAGAGAGGAATGGTTTCAAAGTCCCCAGTGTATGTGGCATTGTCTGTTTTTACTGTATTTATTGTGTGATGAGAGGATTTTCTAAAACACATGTGTCAAACACAAGGCCCTCGGGCCAAATCCGTCCTGCCAGGCCTTGCAATGTGGCCCGCACCGTGCTGTCATCACTGCACTCCACTGCGTTTCCATCACAATGACAGTTTATGACTGTTCAGTAAACCATTCGGCCTGCGATTTAGGCTGGATTTTAGATTTTGGCCCCTTCTCTGATTGAGTTCGACACCCTAGTTCTAAAAGCTTTACTGTGCATCTCAATCTTGCTGTAGGCCAGAAATAACATTTCACAGTGTATGGGTCTTCATTGTATTTTCTTCCATGATTGGGAGGTAAGCCTTCTGTGAGCTTTGGGTCACACGGTGATAATTCAGAAAGCATAGAAATTTTTACCACATCTTGAACCTTAATTTAAAAAAAATATATATTTTATTGATTTTATACAGAGAAGAATTGAGAGGGACAGAGAGTTAGAAACGTCATTGAGAGAGAAATATCGACCAGCTGCCACCCGCACCCCCCCCAATGGGGATGTGCCCGCAACCAAGGTACATGCCCCTGACTGGAATTGAACCCGGGACCTTTCAGTCCGCAGGCCGACGCTCTATCCACTGAGCCAAACCGGTCCCGGCCCTTAATTTTATTTTTAAATTATTCTAAAATTACACTCTTTATTTTGAGATAATTATACATTCATGTGTAGTTATAAAAAACTAGAGGCTCTGTGCATGAAATTTGTCCTATTGGGCCTAAACAGGCAGTTGGGCATTCCTCTCACAGTACAGGACTGCTGGCTCCCAACTGTTCGCCTGCCTGCCTTCCTGATTGCCCCTAACCACTTCTGCCAGCCAGCCTGATCACCCCCTAATACTCCCCTGCCAGCCTGATTGATGCCTAACCACTCCCCTACCAGGCTGTTTGCCCCTAACTACCCTTCCCAGCAGGCCTGGTCACCCCTAAATGCCCTTCCCTGCAGACCTGGTCCCCTCCAACTGTTCTCCCCTTTAGGCCTGGGTCCCTCCCAACTGCCCTTTCCTGCAGGCATGGTCGCCCCCAACTCACCTCCTCTGATGGTTTGGTCACCCCTAACTTCCCTCCCCTGCTGGTCTGATCGCCCACAACTGCCCTCCCTTGCAGGCCTGGTCCCTCCCAACTGCCCTCTCCTGATGGCCATCTTGTGGTGGCCATCTTGTGTCTACATGGGGGCAGCCATCTTTGACCACATGGGAGTAGCCATCTTGTGTGTTGGAGTGATGGTCAATTTGCATATTACTCTTTTATTAGATAGGATAGTACAGAAAGCTCCTATGTAGTCAGTTTTCCCCAATAGTGACTTCTTGGAAAGCTAAACTAAGATATCACACTATGTTGACATTGACACAGTCAAGCTACAGAGTGATTCTATTACCTACAAATTTACCAGACTGGAGATGCGTTACCTTCAGGGCTTTGATCTCCTCCTGCCAACAGTTAATTCTTATAGGTCCCATAGCCTCTGTTTTAACAATTAGCTCCCCAGTCACACCTCCCCCTGATACGTTCCTCACGGACACTGATTCCATGGCCAGGCTGACCTTTCTGGCCCTGCCCACTACCAGAAACAGGCCATTTACCTCTTGGAAAACTCATACTCCTCTTGATTACCAAGCTCTCCATTCTATCTGTTTGCATAGGATTGCTCTGTTTCTCATATGTTCTCATATGATGTTTATGTCATGTGGTTTCAGCATAAACTGGTCCTGTGACCATAAGGTTGTGAGTGGATCAGGCAATCACACACTCTGATTGTGTATAGTGATCATCAGAATTCATTAACCTCTTTGACCTATATAACTTGATGTAGGAATTCAAGTGGATGAATAAGGAAAGCTTCAATTGTGGGAGCTGATAGAATGAATCCCTGAACAGACCCACTTCTTCATTCCTCCTTTTCATTTCAATCATCACAGTCCTTTTTATATCTTTGAGTAGCGAGGGAGATTAGATAAGGAAATCCACTTGGAGTATTTTACTTATAAGTAGTTTAAGAATTTAAATAATATATACATACATTTTCTAATTTGACCTAATAACCTTTATCATTTTATTTGTGATTATATATTACTTTAAAAATGTTTTATTTATGAGAGAGAGAGAAAGAGAGAGAGAGAAAGAGAGAGAGAGAGAGAGAGAGAGAGAGAGAGAGAGAGAGAGAGAGAGAGACGGGGAGAGAGAGAGAGAGAGAGAGAGAGAGAGAGAGAGAGAGAGAGAGAGAGAGAAAGAGAGAGAGAGAAAGAGAGAAAGAGAGAGAGAGAGATGTATTTGAGAGACAAACAAGGATAGGTTGCTTCCTGTACACACCCCAACCAGGGATTGAACCTGCAAACTGTGTATGTGCCTTGACTGGGAATCGAACTGGCAGCCCCTCCGTAGATGACACTCAACCAACTGAGCCATACCCCTTTCACATACCGTAGTGTCAGACAGCCCCTCTAAGTAATACAGATCCATCTTATGTTTATATAGTTTTTCCTATCAAGTGTAATACTATGTGTATTCTGGTAGTAATCAGCTTTAGTAAATCTGGGTTAATTTTTGAATCTGGGTTAATTAACCAATACTAGGTTAATTTTTGAATATTATGTTTCTGTCTATAATTGGGCTTCATGGAATATACCAAATATGTTACCACTTTACCTGTTATCCTGCTGACCAACATACTCCTTCCTCAGAGACCTGAGTGCATCGCTCCTTCATTGCACTCAAGGTTCACTCCATTGTCTCCTCATCTGAAAGGCCTTCTCCGTTGACCTGTGGGAAATAGCCCAGTCCTAGCTCTTTCCATTTCTTTGTTCTACTTTATTTTTTCTTTACTGCGTCTTTGCTTAGTAGTACCTGATAGAGATTTACTTTTTACTTATTGTCTGCTCTTTTCCTTCTGTAGAGCACACTCCTTGAAAGCAAGGGCTGGAGTACCTTTTCTTATTGTAACCCTGTTTTTACAACAGTGTGGCCTATAGTAAGGGCTTAATAAATTTTTGTTGTTGACTAAGTTATAATTTCCTAAACAGCAGATAAAACTTATCCTGTTTCACTTTTCCTTCTCATAGCTTTGATTAGAACGTGCTCACATGTTTTTTCAGCAAATCCTGTTTTGCTGTCAGATGCCAGGGTAGTTTCTCCACTTTTGGCCATTGCTGTTTTAGCTAACAGGAAAATTTCTGAGAGTCTTTCCCCCCCCCCCAGTGAACTGTTGATAGAAACCTAGTAATTTCGAACTCTCTCTGGGAGTCTCCCTACCTTTTTCTTTTTTTGGATTGAATGGGCAAGAAAGCTTGCAAGTGGGTTCTGTCTGAAAGATGTCAGGGTGCACATAGTCCTTTTTCTCTACCCTTGAAAAGAAAATGTAGTTTACAGAACCCAGATATTCTAGAAAATTTAAGTGATTTCAGCCCTGGCCTATGTCGCTCAGTAGTTAGAGCATCAGCTCAAGCCAAAAAGGGTCAAGAGTTCGATTCCTGGTCAAGAGCATGTACTGGCTTGCAGGTTCATTCCTTGGCCCCCGTCGGAGTGCTCGAAAGGCAACCAATAGATGTGTCTCTCTCATGTCGATGTTTTTTTTCTCCCCCTCCCCCTCCCTTTTATTCTCTCTAAAAACCACAAACAAAAAAAAAGGTAAGTGATTTTAAGTTGACAGTAATTTATTATATTGGCAAAAAAACACACAACACTTTTGATTTCGTGTTTAATCCTCAGAGAAGTGATGATTCATGTCTGAATGAAAGGAAGTGTATGGGCTCAATTTGACAGTGTGGTTTTGTGTGAATAGAAAGCAAAATAATATGCTATATATTCTCATTTGACCAGCATGGATGTGACCAAGTGCCACATTCCTATATTGTTATGAAAATATAACCCTAAATTTAAGTTAGTTTTAAAGAATGTTGGAAAACTTGCTAACTGCTAAATTTATTGCTGGCTACATACAGATAGTATTTTAATATGAAGCAGAAGGATAGTTAATGGATGTTTTGGTAAAATAACTAATAGAATGGATTCCTATTTTTTTACTTAAAGGTTTACATTTTTTTTTTTTTAATAAAAGGGATGACTTTCTAGGAGGTAAAAAAAAAAAGTACAAGAGTTCTTCATAATTAAATTGTTATAAATCATTGTTTTGTTTAAAACAAGTTTTTAACTGCTTGTGTTTCTCCCCCATTTTTTGTTTTGTAATCAGAGAATAGAGGGAGAAACCAAAACAGCTAAAAGTTGGCGCCATCCACTGAGCAAGCCTCCAGCAAGATCCCCCATGACTCTGGTGAAGCAGCAGGCAACTAGTGACGAAGGTAGGCTTGTGAGGTTTTCAGGATTTTTAACTTGAATCTTTTAAATTTATGAACACCATCTTGAGTAAGAAGCTACAAGCAGTACTTCCATATCCTCTTATACCTCGTATGTGGCAAAGCACAGGAGGAGGGTGATAGCTGAGCTCTCAAAGCAATGAGGGAACTCCAGAGGAGATTCTGAGAGAAATGACATCCAGATTGGAAGGAAGAGCTAATGAAATGGCTCTTTGGGGGAAATGCACCAGGACTGGAGTGGACATAGGAAAATTAGAGCTGAGACCTCATAGGTCCCTCAGACACACAAAGCTGGACTCTTACAAGCCTGTATCCTTCGTTAAGGATGTACTGGAGAAAAACCAAACCCCAGCTGACCTAGGCTCAGGCAGAGGACAATTGGACTTGATGCCTGGGTTTGGGCTTGTGTGAGGACAGGAGATAGGATAAGACGAGAAAGTTACCCTAATAGTTCTTTTTATTTTATTTTATGTTTTATTGATTTTCTACAGAGAGGAAGAGAGAGGGATAGAGAGTTAGAAACATCGATGAGAGAGAACCATTGATCAGCTGCCTCTTGCACACTCCCTACTGGGGATGTGTCCGCAACCAAGGTACATGCCCTTGATCGGAATCGAACCCGGGACCCTTCAGTCCACAGGCCAACACTCTATCCACTGAGCCAAACCGGTTTCGGCCCCAAATAGTTCTTAATCGTAAGACTGTTATCACATTTATACTTTCTTATTCCCAAGTCAGAAATTTAAAGTAAAAGTGGATACTGCCTATGAAAACCTCTAGGGCATCTAGCAGAAACAGTTGACAAATCTTTTTGAATCCACTTGGAAGAGGAATCTGACTCATGGACAGTAAACTCTCTGACTGGAGTCTTAGTTTTGTCCCTTATAAGTTTTTTTTTTTTTTTGCCTTTGGACAAGTCCTCTCTCTGACTTCAGTTTCCTTTTGTGTAAAATATGAGGACTGGTCGTTAATTATCAGGGTTCCTAACCTACAGGTTCATGATTGGATTTTTGGCACTTCAGCTATCCTGAAATAACTTGTGGTAATATGCTGAGCTGATCACCATTAGACTAAATTTTTATTTGTTACTTTTCAACTATAATTTTATGATTTTTTAGAATAATTATACAGAAAGGTTGAAAGATGCAGGTATCCATTCGTACTGCATTCACCCAAGTGCAGAGGTGATCCACCTACAAGTTTGAAACTTAACAAGGTTCAGATTAAAACCTTGGTTATGGTTCTGATTTTCTGTAATCTGAGCGCTGTCTGGATAACTTTTTATAACTCATCAATTCAGCAAGTGCAACACTGTAATGAGCTGTTAAGCATCTCTTTGAAATTAAAGACAGCTTGGACCCTGATCCCTATCTCTGTAGTGTTTGCATGCCTTCACAGTTTGATTAGGAGAATATTTCAGGCTATGTAACAGCAATTTAGTTTTCTGGACAGTTTGTCTTTATTAATATTATAATTCATTTAGTAATGGATTAAATATTTAAATACAAAGATGGAAGAGATGGAAATCAAGTCTGACACAGTTTGATTACTTTCCCAGTGATTTTCTCCGTTTCACACTCCTTTTATTAAAACTTTCATGTTTATGATGCAGTTGAATACTAAACCAGCCCTGAGTGTATATTCCAAAAACTAGAACTACCCACTGATTTCATTTTGTTGGAGATTTTTGTTTTCCTGTGGTATTTTATGAAATTTACCTGTGTCAATAGTCACTGTAAGTGCTATTTCTGGTGCACAAGCCGACTCCTGGGCACTTTTCACTTACTCCTCACACAAGGGACATTATTTAGAATGGCTCTTTCATGTTACCTTTGGTAGATAGATATTTTGGGGAGGATTATGCCCACCTGCCCCTGGCATGCTTATAGCATTCCTTTCTAAGAGAATTGGTATAGATTTGTTGGTCTTCATTTTATTTGTTTTACTTCAAGGTTTCATTAAGGATAGTATGTTGACCAAATGTAATAATAGTGTCGTTTATTGATTCAAACTTTACAAATGTCATTTTAAGTATTAAATGAAATTAAATTTTCGTTTTAAATATTAAAAGCACCCATTTATTTGTTTTGCTGGATGGTAATGGGCACTTGACTCTTTTTATGGTAGGGAACCTGAGACCTGCCTGCCTCTGGTCTCTCCTTGGCTATTAATGGCTGCTCCTTGGAGAGCTAAATCATGGAATCTCTAAGGCTTATCACAAAGTTCCATTCAAACTCTAAAGGTCTTTTATTCTTTGAAATTACAATAGGAGAGGATACTATATAGTCTTCATGCCTCATTTAGACTTCATTGAAAGAACAAAATAATGAAGTATAGGAACATCCCTAATCAACAGTGTTTCCCTTCCGCAAAACTTCTGTTCTGTGCCAATTTTGAAAACAAATGCTGTTTTATGACTGTTGCATGTCATGCTCCAAATGTTATTAATTTATATAAAATGATCTCTTTTTGTATCAGTTCTTATTAACTTGAGGTAATATCATACTTTCAGAATGAGCACAGTTGCATTTTCTGTTTGTTTAAGCACAGTTATATTTTCTGTTTGTTTAAAACAGCAACTTCAGCAGATTACTAAGTAGATTGGCTTGGAATGTTTATTGATAGATCAGAGCAAATGTTTTCCTGCATTAACAATAAACAATAAAACATTAGATGTTTTTGGCATTCAGATGTTATGGCTATTTTATCTAGCACTCAGTTGAGTAGTAATTGGCATTTTCAGTTTAGCTTATTTCTTTATCCATAAATTATATTGGGAGCTCCAGTGGCATTGACTTTTACTGTAAAATAGGGGATAAAAATTAAAAACACCTTTCTTTTATTTTGCTAGTGGCTTTATAAGGGTTTGATTGAATTAGAGGGAAAATGTTAGGTTTTAAACTTATATGGTTGCTTTCTATACTTTTCAGAATCTTCTTGAAACTTTTCTAAATGTGGTTGGCATAAATTGTTAGGTCTGAATGTGCTGAGAGTGTTGGGATTGTAAAATGATAGCTAAGACAGACTCTTTTAAATTCACGTGTGCATTATTGCTCTTAAAATCTTGAAGGAAACAACTGAGGAACAGGAACAGCTTTTGATATTGTAAGTGTGTGGTTCATTCTATTCTTGAGATCTTGAGAAAAATAAATTATTGCATTGGTTGAATCAGATGAAATTGGTAATGTTTGATTTTTTTTTCCTACAAAACTATAATTTTGTACTATTTAACTCAAATGTATTGCTTTACATTTCCTCAAATTTGTACACAACTCCCTTTCCTAGGAGATAAAGATGTCTTAACCCTACAGGGCATTGAATTATCCTTTATTTTGTACCAAATTTTCTCCATTTCTATTTCCACCTTTTGTTTGGCATTGGAACTAACAGTGAATATAAAAAATAAGCATGCAAAGTTTGCTAAGTTTTCTTAGGTTTTAAAATTTACTTTATAATCTTTGTTTTCCATATTTTGCCTCTGACTATTGAAAACTGGAAATGTTCTGTAGGCTGACATTTGGGGACCACTGTCATAGGCTTTTCACTTTGTGGGAGGTAGGTGTGTAGGTTAAGTGCCATTTATAGGCTCCCAGATAGTGAGTGGCTTACTTTACCATCATTTTAATTGTATAAAGTGTTGTTTTATTCATTTTCTCCTTTTGGATCTTAGGTTCCCAGTTTTTGGGAAATGATTACCTAACTTCATATTATATGTCAAATGGACTTCTAAATTCTACACTGATGTCTGTTGTTTACTGCTAATGTTCTGTTTTGGGGAACCATTTTCAAGAAATGGAAGTTTTGTTGTGCTAATCAAAAAGAGTAAAAACTTAAGGAGAAAAGGTTTTCAGTAGTACTAGTATGTGAACATTTTGAATATTATTAAAATATTTTCATAGTTGCTGTGGTCTTTTCTTGAGAAAATATACTTTATTAGAGGCCCAGTGCACAAAAAATCGTGCACTTGGGGGTGGGGGGGCTCAGCCCAGCCTGCGCCCTTTCGCAGTCTGGGAGTCCTCGGGGGATGTCCACCTGCTGGCTTAGGCCTGTCCCAACCACGGCTGATGCACTTGCAGCCATCAGCCCGGCTTGTGGATGAGCAGAGCTCCCCCTGTGGGAGCGCACCAACTAATAGGTGGCAGCTCCTGCATTAAGCATCTGCCCCCTGGTGGTCAGTGCATGTCAGAGTGATCGGTTATTCTGCCATTAGGGTCAATTTGCATATTACCCTTTTAGTATATATAATAATGTCTTTAAGTGAGTTATCATGAATCTAGGGGTAAGAATCTCTGGGAGAAGACAGTGAGTACAGAAGCCCCAAAGAGCTAATGAGTGTGGCATGTTTGAAGAACAGCAGGAGGGATAGCTGATGGGACCACCAGATGATTTTGGATGTGGAATGACAAAATGGACATTTGCTACCTTTCCTTTTCTTCTTTCTGTACATTTTCTCTATGGGCTAGCCTATACCCTTGTTTCTGTAGTAGTTGGCATCATGGCTGCCCTGTATGGGGTTTTTTCCTTCTCCTTACAGCTGTTTTGTATGATCTAACTGATGATAACTTCTTTTAGTTTTGGGGCCAATATGTCTAAGTACCCTGCTGTCCTTTACGTAGATGACAAGAACTTTACTTGGTATTATAGATGCTATTAATGAAATAGTTTAAGAAACTGGAGGTTTCTCCCATAGGAAATTTTGAACTCAATGAAGGCAGGAGACTTTATTTCCAGGATCTGTCATATTTCTTAACATAACATGGGTTGTATATGCTCACTCTTTCTTCACTTACCTTTGATTTGATGATTAGAATAAGTTCCTTTTGATGTCATGTTGTCATCAAGTTTTCTAAAGATATGCCAACTTTCTGTTAGAAGTTTTCTTTTCCCCATCCTAACTGAGATATGGAAATTCACCATTGCTGCTTTCTTCCCACTGTACATATGATTAGCATTTGTTATTTACAGTTTCTAAAGATAGATGGTGT